ATGGTGGAGGAGTGCCTGGTGGAAGAGCAGGCCTGGTACATGGAGGATATCATGCGTGAGCAGGAGAGAGACAGGGTAGACCAGGAGTTCTGAGACAGGTTCCTGGCCCTCAAGGAGAGGTACCTGGAGGCCCAAGAGCGGCAGGCTGCCATGGCGGCCAGGGCAGTAGAGGCCATGGAGGAGGACTGCCAGGTGCTGGACACAATCCTGGCCCTGGTGGTTGCCTTCATGCCACCTACTGCCCAGGCCCTGACTGCAGCCTCACCTATCCCCTGGCAGCCGCCCACCACTGAGCCACAAGTCCCCCAGTTGACTTGGGCTAAGGTGCAGCGGTGCCTCCAGCAGCCAGGTCCCCCTGCCCTGACACCCACCCCTAGTCCCCCAGCAGCCAGCTCCCCAACATGCACCCTGCCCAGCCACTTGCCCCTGATCCATGAAGCCCCAGAGCAGGAGCTTCCTGCAGCAGGGCCAGCACTACGTGTGGGCTCTGCTGGCCCAGACTGCTGGCTGCAAGAGGGGGAGGAAGCTGCACCAGCAGAGCAGCAGCTGCCCTTACCACCACCCAAGCCTCCTGCCCACCAGCCTCGCTGCAGCATACTGGGTGCCTGTCCCCAGGCTCTGCCCCCTACGTGCCCCCATCCCACTGCTCCCACAACCCAGAAGGGCACACACAGCACACTGTACATAGTCTATAATGGGGAAGAGGGTGCTTTATTGGTTGTGGGTGGGGTGGTTAGTGGAGGGACTCTGTGGGTCAGGGGGAGGGGCTATGTGGTTTGGGAACAAGAGTTCTGTTGTGTGGGAGGGAGAGGCGTTGTTATTGGAGAGGGAGGGAGGGAGGAACAGGTTCTGTGTTTGTGGAGGGGAGTAAAGTGCTTTTCTGAAAATTGTCCGCAGTGAGCATGGTGCTGGGGATGTGTGGGCAGATGTCCAGGTGGGCTACAGAGGGGAGTACAGGAGGATGTGGTCTGCCAGCAACTCTCACACCTAATGCCCTGGCCCCTGTTGCCAGGTGTGTGACTCACCCAGGGCCACGGGGGCGGGGGGATGGGCATTGCTGTTGCTGCCACAGCAGCTGGCACTCCCTATGCCAGGCATCCTCCTCTGCTGCACCTCCTCTGCCAAGGCCTCATGAAACAGCTCCCCCTGGGCCTCACAAATGTTATGTAACACACAGGCTGTGATGATGATCTGGGGGACGTTGGCATCCGCAATCTCAAGGCAGCGAGTGAGGGTGTGCCAGCATCCCTTCAGGCAGCTGAAGGTGTACTCCACCAGCGTGTTGGTCCAGCCCAGGCACCTGTTGAAGTGTGCCTGGCTGGGGTCCAGCTGGCCAGTGTAGGGCCACATGAGCCGAGAGAGGAGCAAGTAGGCACGGTCTCCGATGAGGAGAGGCAGGACTGCCACCGTGCCCAGCTGGAGGTCTGGCACCTCTGGCGTGAAGCACCCATTCTCTGCCAGAGCTGGCAGGGTGAAGTTGCAGAAGACACAGGCATTGTGGGTGCTGCCCACCCAGCTGGTGCTCACATTGGTGAAGGAGCTGCAGTGGTCAATGATGGAGTGAAAGCCCCACTAGCTGTAGTGGGGTGGTCACCATGGGGCAGGCAAGTGATGGGGATGTGGGTCCCATCCAGGGCCCCAATGCACTAAGAGAATGCTAGAGTATGGAATCCCACCACCATCTTCAGGTTCATGCACCCAGAGTACAGTATGTCCTAGCATTTCCTTGAGGACACTGCACGCCTCTAGGACAGCCTCCCCAGGAGTCACCTTCCCCACACCAAAGAGGTGGTCAATGTAGCGTAGACTGGTGGATGTGGCAAGCTTGAGCAGGGCGATGGGCAGCCAGGGATCCATGAGGAGGGCCACCACATGGTGGTGGCCTGCCACTCCAGATGTGGGTGGAGCTGCTCAAGGACCTCCAGGAAGGTGGCTTGGGTCATGTGAAAGGACTCCAGGCACTGCTTGTCATCCCAGGTGCACTGGATGATGTGCAGCCCCCAGTCCTGGCTGGCAGGGCAGGCTCACAGGTGGCAGGGCTGGAGCTCATGTACAGCACGAGTGATGGTGTCCAGATGCACAGCATCACCATCCCTGCTGGGGTCCCAGCAGCAGCATGGGATCCAGGCAGCAGCAGCGCAGTGGCAGGGGGCCTGAGATGCTATGGTGAACCTGGCCATGCAGCCACATTGCACTGGGAGGCAGCCAAGGCTGAGACTGACCTAGGGCAGGTGATGGTCACTACAGCAGCAAAGCATAGCAAGCACGGTGGCCATCAGAAGACCAGGGCACAGGTCTCGCTCCCACAGCCTGGGGGTGGAGCAGCCATTGCACAGTGGGCACAGGCTTTAGTGACAGAGTTGCAGAGGATTGTGCTATAACACTGCAGGCTATTCCAGGCCAAAAACACGGGTGGCCAAGGAGGAACACACAGGACTGGCTTTTGAAGATGGCCCCTGGCCCTAGGAAGCTGTGGCCAGAGCCTCCAGCTCCCTCTGGCTGCTGTAAAGGGGCAGCGTGGGACCAGAGAAGGCTGGGAGCAGGCTACTTCCATAAGCAGCAAATCTGCTCCCAAATGCCTGCAAGTGTAGATGCTTGCCCAGGGTGAGTTTACTCTGCAGTAAATTACGGTGGAGTAAACCCATATAGCACTTATTGCACATGTAGATGTGCCCACTGAGAGGTAGGGCCAGGGTTACCAACACAAGATTTATTTTATTTTACTGGCAATTCGCAAGCTTTTTATAGGCAACCAAACTTTTCAACTGATATGTTTTTACCGATGTATGTTTTACCTAATATAAATGTAACACTGCTGCTAGGCCCTGGATAGCACTTAGAAAGGCTGAGTTCAAATTCAGGGGTTTAACATCAATCCCAATAAAAAAGTTTGGCTGTCAGTAAAAAGTCTGCAGATTGTCAGTAAAAATATGTTCTTGGTTTGGCAACCCTGCTTAACTGCAGCAATGATTTTATACCATGCTCCCCCCAGTCCAGAGGTCCCCTTATTCACCCTGATAACCTCAACACTACCCTAATTCCCACCCCCCACCTACCCCGAACATAACCCCAGCCTGCCACCTCTCCCCACCACCCAAACCTTTCAGCTCCATCCTAGCCTGACAGCTCTGTCCTGCTTGGCCCATGGCTGTACAACCCTGAATACCTTTGAGGTGAGCACTGAGCAGCCATTACAGGCAGGTGGCAGCTGAGACATGCAGCAGCAGCATATGGCTGGGGTAGGAGCGGGGAAGGGGCTGACAGACAGTTCCCTACAAAGGGCCAAGCTGCATTCCCACTTAGATACCAGGTGGTGCTGCTCTGATCAATCTGTCTGCTGATATTTAAATCTAGCCTTATTCTGATGGTAATGACAGATCTTCACACAAGCTCACTGTTTCCCAGGTTTTTATGGACAGCTCCATTTTTTTATGGACAGACAGATGTTTTTACTCTGTTTTTTTATGGATTGTCTGGAAATTTACATACAGTCATCAACCATATGTGAGGTGTACGTCCTGCTCCATTCCACAGACTTCCTGACTGAGTCATTTAAGCAGCTATCCACTCATCTTGTTGGCTAAAGCAAAGGCCACTCAGGGATATGAATCTCATTCGGTGGAAATGAAGATAGGTATCGCTGCACAGAAGTCTCTCTTGTGACTATAACCAGGGGGGTGCTGGTTCTGCCACTTGTACTATTGAGTGTGCGCAAAATCCCATTTAGCGTCAGCACACATAACAAGGCATCCATGTGAGTAAGGGAGGTGGAAGCAGGCCCTCAGTACATCCACTGCTTCAGATCTTCCACAAGCTACTGTACAAAAGAGACCATGAGATATTTTATTGCTCATTCAGCTGCAGAAGCAGTACAAGCTGCAGAAAGCACTTAGAAATAACGGTGGCCTAATGAGCTATTTCCAGCAGAACAATATGCTTGCAGCCTTTCTGATGTGGTCTTCTCTGTGAAGTCCAAGGAAATGCTGCTTGTACAACTCTCTTCCTATTACCACCCAGAGCTCTGGTTTCCTACAGGCACAGACAATGCAAAATAATATAGACATTCAGCAAATGGCATGTGGTATTCACTTTGAATCAAATAGCAAATGTAGCAATCCTGCCCATTTTTAGAGCACACGCTCAATAATATAATACCCATTCCCCCCAGCACTTCAGATTTCCTTAAATACAGAATTATTTCTAGGGAGGAGGTGGCATTTAGGACACTCAGCACCAGCAGCAGGCATGCTCTGTGTTTTCTATGTGGATCTATATTTTATTATGGCAGCTTCTTGTCCCCTTTCTCTTGCTTTCTATACAGTGATAACAGGAGGGTTATGTCAATGAAACTGCCTAAATTTTGAGGGAGGTAGACTCAACTCAGGCTACAATGTGTTTCTAGGAAGATTGTTTCAGCAGCCAGTGCAGCTGTGAGCCTGTCTCACTACTTAAAATCATGCAGAAAGATTACCAAAAAGCTAGGTTTCAATTGATGGTCCTGCCCCCATTTCAGCAAAAGAAAAAAAAAGAAAAAAAAAAAAAAGGAGTGACATTGACTGCGATCTAATAGAGAGGATTTTCCCAGTGATATGTGGTGCTTTGTCTTTTGTGCAGAAAGCAGCTAATCAACCCCACTCAACAGAGCAGTTACAGATTGATTGTCCAAAGCCTTCCAGCTCTGAAGCCAGAAGGAGGTTGCTATGGGAATCATGAGGGCACTTGGAGATAGGACCTGGAGTCTTTCCCTTGTCCAAGGCAGTGGAGCCAGAGGAAAGAAAAATTACCAGGAGGTGGTACAGAGACACAGACACAGCAAAATGCATGCATGTTAGAGGAGGGACCTTCATAGCATGAGGATGTGGTACATAGAAGAGCAAAGACACTTAAGTATCAGGAACTGGTAGCTCATCTTTGGTTGGCTGGCCCTTTTTCCTGCTATATTTGACATTCAGAAAGTCCAGTAAAAGTCCAACTCTAGCAAGATGGGATCTGGCTCCTCAACTTGTCGGCCCAAGTGTATTTATTTGGATATTGATGGAAGAATTCAAAAGGTACTTGTATCGTTTTTCACAAACTCATGTCTCTGTCAGATTGCAGCAGCAGCAGCATTGACAGGCTGCATTTACCATTAACATTGTTATAGAATTTTTGAGCTCTAATTGGGCGTATATTCAGCCCCGGCATGGGTTTGGACTCTCTTTGCCAACGGGTCTTTTGTTACTTCTGTTTTGCAAAATTAATATGTTTAGAAAAAGAGAGACAGAAGTCTCTGAGAAGGTTAGGGTTCTGGCTACAAGGATTCAGGGGACATCTGTGAATTCCCATTTGAATAACCTTCCAGGATGCCCCAACAAGGGCAACATTTTGTGTTTGTGCAAAGTTTTGCATGTGGGGAAATACTTCCGTGCTCTTCTTGTGAGGGAGTCAGTGGAAAGCCAGAGGTGTTGCATTATTTTGCTATTAACCATCACAAGAATTTAAATGGTAGGGCATGTTAATATATATTTTAAATGGTTAGGAACAGATTTCATTATTACTCTATATTATGCGTTTGTATCGCAGCAGTGCTTTGGGGGTCTCAGTAATATTTGTTAGGTTCTTTATATCATTAAACTTTTCATAAAACTTTAGGTATTATTCTTTATTATGTATTCACTGCAGTACAAGACATAGAGAAAGAGGCAGTCCCTGCCCTGAAGGATAGGTCCACTGACTGTGAAAAATATACAGCTCATAATATGTGGAGCATATTAGACATCTGTTGTGCACATAAATACTAATCCCACTTTGAGCATCTTTCAGCTCCAAATCAAACACTGTATCTCATTTAATATAGTAAAAGGCAGTGAGATAGTGAAGAGTACTCCGGCACTGGCTTACAAACTCCATAGTATCCATCTCCTAAAAAAATATTTTACATTATTATTTCACCCAGATTCAACTTCCTATTTGGCAAGAAATAGCAAGTCATCCACTCCCCTCCTCCTCTGCAATACATTTCACATCCATAAGAAAAAGGATAATTGAGTAAGTACTCACTGTCTTATCCACAGTGTTTCCTCTGCTTGTGATGCTCCTCCTAAGACTGCTGGTCAACTATGAGACTTAAGTTGTTTTACAGTGTGAGGCAGGATTATGGAGCATACAAGTAAAAGAAGAATGTAGTCAGAATAAAACCTTGGATAATCAAAATCTCCCCAGAGCTCAACACCTCTTTGTCAGTTCTGGGCTTTGAACTGAAAGCTGCTCTGAACATTTCATAGCTAACAAAAAGGAGCAGCTAAGCTCTATTAAACAAGAGGGATTGCTTATGTTTTGTCATGATTTACCAGAGTTAGTTAACTAATAATCCAAGAAAATGACACTTGCTTGTGCAATGTTCCATAGCACTCTTAAAAATTAAAATTTAAATGTTTGCTTATTTAAAAAATAATCCTGAGTATTTACATGATATTACTAAATCATGTTTTCTGTCACCTACTCCACCTAAAAAATGAGCTTTCCCCAGAGTTGGTCTCTGGAGAGTATTCATATTGCTAAATACAGGAGAGGCATTGACTGCATGAAATAGCGAATGTACACCCGGGCTAATCTAAGTTTTGCTCAATAAATGTTATCTGTTTCATTTGTCAGATGAGAAATTCCGTCTGTGCAACGTTTGGGAAAACTGCAGCAATAAAAATACAGAGTAAATGGGGTTCTTCCAGGGGCAAGCAGGGCATATCACAGATTTTCATGCCTCCTCAGTTCAGACATAATTAAAAGAAAGCAATCCTTAATTTTCCAAGGAATGTGGGATTTGTGATTTCTAGAGGAAATTCACTAAACTAATGCTGAGCCACTTATTTAACTCACTACTGTAATATGTTCTTCATTATAAAATAACTGAAACCTGGAAGGATTTAACTACGTGTTAAGACTAGATATTTCAAATAGGTGTGGTGGTAATAATAATAATAATGATAATAGTATTATATATAATTTGTGGTGCACTGCTGTCTTATGATGGAAGTACTGCAATAGCACCACATAAGTTGGATGTACTGTAAAAACACAAATCCTTCAAAAAGCAATGCTGGTGGGTACCTAGAGCACTGGGGGAGGAGATAATATCCTCAACTCTGATGCTTTGGTCTAAATTAGACTTGCATTAGTAATTGTGTTTTCTCCCAGATCCATTGGCACTGACTCTATGGGTGCTCTAGGGCTCAAGCACCCACCAAAAAAAATAGCGGGTGCTCAACACCCACAAGTCACATCAGGTGAGCCAGGTTGACTTACCACACTGCCTCTTCTGGGCATGTGTGGGGCTCACATGGGAATTAAAACAACAACAACAGAAAGCGCCCACTGGCAAAAACCAGTCGGTGCCTATGCCAGGTTTCCTGATAGTGGAGGGAAATTTAAAATGATTACTTTTGCATTGGCTTGTCCTGATTCTCAACTCAGATTAGTTTTACACTGAAAGACCCTGTTGGCTTCAGTGGAATTACTCCTCATTTACGCTGGTCCAAGGGAGAGCAATCCAGAACCAGACAGCGGTGTACATCTATGAATCAAAGTTCCTCTGAGCAGGCAGAACTGCGGGCACAGTTAAATTACCACTGCTAAGCAGAGTTGGGCTTCTGCTGCCATCCAACAGCAGGCAGAAGGTACATGTAGATTTTTTGGTGTACCTTTCTGTGAAGTGGCACAGTCCCTTCAGCAGCGGGTGCCTTCGCAAGGTCCACAGTTGCTGAGGGAGCTGAACAGAGCTGCTATAGGAGCCCATGGATATGCACATGCTCATATGGGTTGGTGGAGGTAGCTGCTGCCTGCCCCCAGAAGTTCTGGTAGCAGAGGAAGTAGGTGTGGACAAAGTTTAAGCAGCTAGGATTGCAGCTGCAACAAAATAAATCCCATGCTGCTCTCAGATGAAGGGAACAAGAACTGTGGCCAGAGCCTTTCTTCCCTACGCAGATTACTACATAGTAGAACGATCCCTTGGAAGCCATTCCTAGACAGCCTAAGTCAGAGTCAAGCTCCTAGCAGCCTTGAGAATCCAGGCAGTGCAAAGCTACAATCGCCTTTGCCCTCTCAAGCCCTGGACAGAAGACAACACGGAAAGGTATCTCTGTATGCGCACTCTTCTCAGATGTAATAGGTTTGCTATGCTGATTTTATCAAAAATACCTGTTCCTTTTAAAGAGAGCCCTTTGACTCAGATCAGAAGATGAATATGAATTTCATCACCAGTCAGGGATGTTCTTCACCCTGGCAGGAGGATGGACTTAATGATCTAACAAGTCTCTTCCACTTCTAACCTCTGCTATTACTGCTGTGATATCTCCGAGCAAGTGATTATTCTCCTGGGTACCATCTGGTGAGAACAGACAACACAATAAAGTTCCAAGCCAGAGTTTCTTACAGGACTGGTAAAGAATGGAAGGAGGGAAAATGTGTTTTTACCCCTGGATTAAATGAGTGAGACAGACTTCATTCCTGTGAGTACCAAGCAGGGGAACAATGCTCACAGCCAATCGGAAGAAAACTTCAAACAAGCAATGTCAGTGAACTGGCAATTGAAAGAAAGATGAGGCCTGATGGGAGAAGGCAAGAGGGAGACCTACTTGACTGGCTACCTTCCTCAATAGGAGTAGAACAAGATGTGAACTGAGAGGACAAGCAGATACATTCATACCTAGTTTGCTCAAGGGATGAGACCAAACCTCTATTATTTACAGATGGGACTTGAGTCACAACTCTAAAAAAATCTACTTTGAGGAGCTAATTTACTCTTAGCACTGGTATTCAAAATGGAATTGCAATGCGATGCCTTTCTTATCAGTCCCCAAGTAAAGTGGGTGCGTATCTGTAGAAACAAGTGCTCTGTGATTTTTGAAGGCACTTCTCTACCACGGAGATGCAGTAAATTAAAAGATGAAGTTACAAAGGCTCCCTCTATGCTACAAACGTGCCCATAGGAAAAACAATTGGGAAATGTGTTTGTGCCCTCCCCTTCCACCCCCATGCTGTTTTTCATGGGAAAGATAGAAAACAGCCAGTGTAAAAACTGGCTCTGTTTCATGTGTGCAGTTGACTCCACACAGATTCTGTTCTCTTTTGCTCTGTTCTCAATTACCCTTAGAAACAGGCAAAAAACACAGCCCACATGCAGGCGCAGGGTTTGAAGGCTGCTTTCATTTGCCCAGTCAAGTTTTCTGTAAAAGCTGAAGACCCCACAGGGTCTTCCACAATGGTTAAAAACCTGATCCAAATCCAAATCTGGAGACGCAGTCTTCTCTCTTCCTCAAGCTGTTCAGTTTTAAAACAAAATTCCTAATTGTGGTTGCTTCAAAGGTGCTGCTGCTGCTTAGCAAGCTACAAACGGCACAATTCTGCCAGTGATTTCTGCACACAGAAGCTGCAGCACAGTTTGCACATCAGTAGGGGCTAGTCTATCCTTGCAGAGACATTGGCTTCAAAGCATGACTGCCTAATGGCAACATTCCCAGCTGGGTGGCTGCTGTGACTCATTTTTAATGTCTTGGTGGAGTGATTTTACTCCAAGTATAATGAATAGTGGCAGGTAATGGGAAACTCATTTAACTGAAGATTTTTTTAAATGTCCTTAAACAACATCCAGTTGGTAGCTGGAATGGAAAGGTGGGAGGGCACATAGGCTGAATTCACTGGGAAAGCAAAGACCACTGCCTATGTCCAGGTTCCAAAGGAACCACTTAGGCTCATGTTTGTTCCTGTTTTGAAAATAAGTGAAGGATGCCTGAATCCTTCTAGCTATGTACACAAGTGATTCTCAACCAGAGGGTCGCAGCACTCTGGGCTGCACTGAGATCCTTTCAGGCAATATTGGCACTGTTAGGTGTGCAAACGTGGTTCACAAGATAAACCCAGAGGTGCCAAATAGGAATCCATAGTGTTAAAAATATTCTGCCCTGTTGTGGTCTTTCTGAGTCCTTTGCAACTGAAGAACTCATTATTTTTCTGTAGCCAAAAAACAAGTGAAAAGTAAAAGCTGGAGTTTTCCAAGGGGAGCCTTGAGTCTAAAAGT